CTATCTGACTAAAAATACCTAACATACAGTAATAAACATTCATTAAATATTTGACAAACTGAAATTGAAATGAATCTGGCACATTGAAATTTTCAGGAGCTTCTTGATCCAAATCCTGGATCAGGTCCTGGTTCTAAAATATACAGTTTATTATCTTAAATTATTGTTATGAATGAAAATAACTGGGAGCTGGACAAAACACTGTCAGAACTACAGAGTCACCACAGGGGAGATATTAACTACTACTTTGTACAGTACCTGTATGTGTACACAGTCTGGGTAACCATCCCCGTTGGACCATCTAATACTGCAGTAACAAAAGGTGGCGGCTGTCGCGGCTCCACTGGACAAAAGCCTGCAGTAAAACTTGGCCTAAACCGAAAGGAAGCAGTAAACGGTGACATCTAGTGGCGACTCTGAGTTTTACATTTAGTGAACCTGCTGAAATGAGCCTTGACATCCTGGTCAGTAAAGGCTCTAATGCTGGTAAAGAAAACATTAGAACCAGATCAAACAGCAGAGAATAATCAATGAATAAGATATTCCTGCTTAAAAATGACCGTTTGTTTTTATTTTATTCTGCGGCTCTGGTGACATCACAGCAAAGGTGTAACAGATGTTTACAGGATTGTTCAGTTCTGCAGAACTCAGAGCTCTGACTTCTAGCCTGAAGGTGTCTTTATGTGATTATGTTTCAGCATCAGCATCATCAAATAAACACTTAAAGTTACGAGCTTTTGTTAACTAAGTGTACGATTACACTGCTAAAGTTCCTCAACATCACTCAATAGACTTCAGTACAAAGTTTTGTCTACTTGTCCTACGTGAATATGTTTTAGACCAGAATACCAGAATAAGATATGAAAAGTTTAAAGCAAGATAAATATTAAATGCACACATTGCATTTTCCCTGTAATACAGGTCAGCATGTACAGACAACTTGTTCTTCCTGTTCTTCTTGGTCCCAGCAGGAAACAGGACTCATCCTTCCAATGTCAGATGATCTGCATGATCCTTTTAGCCTCAGCTCGAACTGCAGGAAACCACAGCACAGAGCGTTTTACTGCATGTTTTCTAATTCCACATCAGCAGCAACAGACTAAATAGGAAGAGCCCCCACCCCCCACCCTCCTCCCCTTGGTGCCTAGCCAGGCCCCTGCTACAGCACAGCTCTCACTCACCCGTCCTGACACCTGAGATCCTGACACAAAGCCCATGATGTTAACATCACTAAAAGACTTAAGCAGAGACTATCTTTTGCCTTCCAGTTGGTTTGCAGAGCTGCCCCCCCCCCCCAGGTGGACCCGCACCCACAGGAAAGAGCACCAGTACTAGGACCAATAGATTATATTGTCATTAGGATGATCAGAGGTGCTCTTACCTCTAGCCCACCTTCGGTACACATTTATACACAGTATAGTGATGACAGTGTAGAGGATGACGAGCAGGATGATGCACACCAGGTTGGGCAGAGACATGACAGGAGGAAGAGGAGGGACACCTGTTGGCTGAGTTCGGACTGTGAGGAAGAAAACAGCTTCTTCAAACAAGTGGCAACATCCCCAGTTGTGTTTTTACATTACCAGTAAACACACACCTCCGTCCACCATGTCAGGCTACATGTGTAATATATATATTCACAGAAGAAAGCAACTAGAGTAAAAGCCCATAGACGTCAAGTGACAACACAGAGCTATGTTCACGCTCATCTCACTGAGGTGGGTCAGATAGGATCTCTGCAACCTGTCAGACCATACAATACAAATGTTGAGGCATGTTAAACTATAAAATCATCTATAAACCTAGAGAGCAAAAACTCATGTCATGTGTCTGTGCTACTGGCAGCAAGACAACACAACATGAACCCAGGTCAGTGTGTGATGCATCGTTTCTTGTCATAAATGGGTGGATTTATGTTCACTGATCAGATTTTGGTGTCACGCTGTCAGAATGTGAGTCAAGCTGAAGGCAAGAACCATTGTTTTGGATTGAAAAGCAAAATCTTCACTCTTTTCTACTTCCAGAACAACGTTGCCTCAGAGACAAGTTTGCACACCAGACAACGGAACTGATGACCCATCACACGTGCACTGTGTGTATCTGTATGTGTATGTGTAGAGAACTGAGGGTCATCATCACCTCTGACAGCCAGCAAACTCTCTGACGACTCTCCTTCTGTCGGGTGCGCACACTTGTAGGAGCCTTCGTCAGACTTAGACACCGATGGGAGGAGCATTGTTCCTTGAGGCTCTTTACCAATGAAAACACCATTTCTGTAGAAAGTAGCGTTGAAGACTGACGAAGACCTTGGCACATATCTTTCCTTGTAGGAGCAATGAAGAGTCACTTCAGTTCCCTCCATCACAGGAAGTGCAGGACTCTCCAGGATCACTTTACCAGCTGGAACACAGAAAGGAAAACCACAGTCCTTGGTCATGCACTTTGGTTTTCAGTCCTCAGTTTTACAGCTCAGTCTGTTTAGCTGCAAATCTTATGTGCAACAATGAACTGTTTGAAATGCAGCTGTCATCAAAACACTAAAACAAATAGAAAGGTTAAAAAAGCTAAGGCCACCGCTTTAAAACACAATGTAACTAAACATGTACTTTTGGCATTAGAAGCTTACTGGTCACTGTGATGTTGAGGACGTTGCTGCACTCCCCCCGCTCAGACTCACACCAGTACTCTCCACTGTCTGATGCATAGACACCCCCAATAACACAGGAGGATCCCTGTGGGCGACCCCATTTGTCCTCACATGAACGTAGTGATCCAGAGGAGGTGTTTCTCTTCACTGTCCAGCCACTGAAATTACCCGGTGATGCACAGCTCAGGGTGATGTGCTCAAAGCGAAAGAACTGAGTCCTTTCAGGATGGACACTCAGTGTGGCTGCTGTGGGCGCAAAGGAAATGTCAGACATGAGTGTAAAACAGGCAAGGGTGTTAATTAGGTCCTTTTGTGGTTGGTTATCAAAATTCCAGTAGAGAGGTGAAAGAAATTCACAGATGGTTACAGGAAGTGACTGATTTCAGTTATTTTGTCCTCAGGGGGTGCTACCAAATATTAAGTTGATCATCATGTTTGCAGTAGGTCATGACTGCAAAAGGGTGCTCTACTAAATACTATAAACACTTGGCATGAAGGGGTTAAATGATTTTGAGATAGAAGTCACTAAAAGTTGCATATTGTGTTGAATTTGGAGAAACCGCTTGTTACATTAGTTGTGCTGAACCATTTCAATATTTCCTGCTTGATTTGTTCATTGCAAACAGCTGAATGTTTGTGAATTTTGTACATACAGTGCAACTACTGTGTTTTCCAGAACACTAATGGACAACCCTCCAAAACCTCTGTATTTATACTATTACATTAATATTCACTGCAAACATGTTCAGGGCAACCAACTATTATGTTGTGTTATTATGTGTTATTACAGCCAACATGTTGGTTATTCTCAAACAATGGTTCAGAGCAAGTAACTAAAACTCATGTTTATATTAATATCTGTTTAGTTAATATCTGTTAAAAGCTGTGAAAAGTGAGCTGACAATTTGGGTGCACACAGAATTGTGATCAAATTGAAACATTTTCTCCAGATAATAACATTGTTGACACAATGAAATAGTAAAAGTAAAAGAAACAACCAAAGAATGATTCAGTCTCAATTGTCAAATATTATAAATAGTATATTTTAAGCTTATGGATTCCAACAAAGAGATAGAAATGACTTCTCCATGAGCTACAAATCATAGCGGCTAAAAGACAAATCTGCAGGTGAAATAGTTGAAAAAAGAATCATTTCTCACAGATCAGTAGGCAGAGAGCTGTGATCGCCATTCTGTGTTCATGCTGTCTGAGTTCCTCTCAATCACTTTCACCCAGCCATCCACCCACATCCTGAACTCGAAGCAGAACTCAAACCACAGCGGCAGGCTGAAAAGCAGATACATGCATACAAAAAGTACTGCAGTTAGGACATGCAACAAAAGTATTTAAAATACATATATTAATCAACATCAGAATAAGAATCAGCTTTATTGGCCAGGTGAGTTGGACACACAAGGAATTTGACTCTGGTGCATCGGCTCTCAGTGCGTATGTACATATCCTCATGCAAGGGGCAAGTAAACAGTAAATCAGCATAAGGCTATGTAATATAACAAAATAAGCAGTAAAAACAGACAGTAAACAATGCAGACAGACAAATGAATGCTCATTGAAAAGAGATAAATAGGAATAAAAATAGAGTACTTAAAAATAGAGACCTGTATGAAGCTGTATAATCTGTACAATGTATATATACAGGTATTGCACTGAGGTTTATTGTCCAATCATATGGTCATTGGTTAAGTGTTCATCAGAGTGACAGCCCGGGGGAAGAAACTGTCCCTGTGCCTGGTTGTCTTGGTGCACAGTGACCTGTAACGCCGTCCAGAGGGGAGGAGTTCAAACAGATTGTGTACAGGGTGTGAGGGGTCAGCAGTGATCCTCTTCGCCCTCCTTTTGACCAGTGAGGTGTACAGGTCCTCCATGGAGGGCAGGCTCACACCAATGACCTTTTCTGCAGTCCTGACTGTCCGCTGAAGTCTGTACTTGTCCTGTTTGGTTGCTGAGCCAAACCAGACAGTGATGGAGGTGCAGAGAACAGACTCAATGATTCCTCTGTAGAACTGTATCAGCAGCTCCTGGGGCAGGTCAAACTTCCTGAGCTGG